TTGTCTATTTATTTTGAGAGAGAGAGAGAAAGAGAGGGAGAGAGGGAACATGAGTGGGAGAGGGACAGACAGAGAGGGAGACAGAGGAGATCCCAAGCAGGCTGAGAGCTAACGGCAGAGGCCACATGGGGCTCGATCTCAGAACCAGGAGATCGTGACCTGAGCTGCAACCAAGAGTTGAAACCAACCGAGCCACCCAGGCGCCCCGCTAAGGTTGTTTTGCAATGCATGTAAGGGACCCGGGACTCGTGTGTGGTGGCCGGCTGTAGCTCACAGGTGCCACACACTGAAAATGCTACCGTTACTGCGTTTAGGTTTGGATCCCGACCTCCTCAGCTTCACCCACACTGTGGCTCCGTGGAGATCGAGACTCAGGCAGGGGGTTCAGAGGAGTTGCCGGATTGCTGCAGCCTTCTGTCCATGAAAAGCAGGTAAGGGCAGAGCTAAAAGGTTCCCTGTCTGGGCCCTGGGGGTGGAGATGGCAGAGAGAAGCCTCTGGAAGCCTTAGTTTCCTCATCCCATAAGCAAAGATCAGGCACCACCCTTCCGGGGGCTGCCAGAATGCACCAGAGAGAGATGGTGTTTTTGTATAAGCTTAGTAAATGGTAAACTCTTGTTAAAATTGTGCTTGTTTGCCGAATAACAAAAACCAAGACTCCGCCCACCTGGCTTTGCCCTGAGATAACAGAGGGTCCTGAATGGGTGGTGACTTGAGTACCAGCAGGACTGGTGGTCAAGGCAGGAGTCTCCGGGCAGGGGAGGTGGATTGTTTACAGGCAGCACAGCTGAGCTACCCCACAGCTGGCCTGCGGCTCACTGTCACCAGCCAGCTGGGCCAGTCCCCAGCTCTGAGGCCTTCCAAGGCCCAGACCCAAAGACAATCTTTCATGGGAGTCTGGGGGCTACTAGACAGGGCTGCTGGCCCTAGGGAGCCCCAGAGGGGGGAGGCAGGACTGCAAATCTGCATCTTCCTTCCATTCTCTGTCCCCTCCTTCTCACACAATTTTTTTTTAAGTTTATTTTATTTATTTTGAGAGAGAGAGAGAGAGAGAGAGAGACCAAGCATGAGTGGGGTAGGGGCAGAGAGATAGAAAGAGAGAAAATCCAGGGCGCCTGGGTGGCTCAGTCGGTTGAGCGTCCGACTTCAGCTCAGGTCACAATCTCGCGGTCCTTGAGTTCGAGCCCCGCATCGGGCTCTGGGCTGATGGCTCAGAGCCTGGAGCCTGTTTCCGATTCTGTGTCTCCCTCTGTCTCTGCCCCTCCCCCATTCATGCTCTGTCTCTCTCTGTCTCAAAAATAAATAAACGTTAAGACAAAAATTAAAAAAAAAAAAGAAAAGAAAGAAAATCCACAAGCAGGCTCTACACTATTAGCACGGAGCCCAATACGGGGCTCGAACCCATGACATCAAGAGTTGGACGCTCAACTGATTGAGCCCCCCAGGCGTCCCCTTCTCACACAGTTCTTGACCACCCCCTGTTATATACTCACACTTGAAGGCACTGGGGACGCAGTGCCTAAGCATGGCCACCAACCTGGAAACACATGCATTTACTCACACTTTAACTCACTCACTGGTTCAGTGGTCTTTCATTTATTCATTCCCTCAACAGAATTTCGCTAAGCGCCTACAGTGTGGTTGGTAGGCAGAGCTCTGAGGTCAAATACCTTAATTTCAACCCTGGCTCTGCCACTTGCTAGCTGTGTGACCTCGGGCCAGTTGCTTAACCTACCTGAGCCTCAGTTTCCTCATCTGTAAAATGGGATAATGCCGCGCAGGATTGTGGGTGGCGAGACTAACTGAGCTGCTCTCCTCCACCTGTGTGTTCCACCTCAGTGAGGGCCCTGCTCACCTGCTCAGCCCCACACACTCCCTGCACACTGCCAGGCCCCAGGCTGGGTCCTCGTAAAACCGTTTGCTGCTGGAATGGATGTGAACACAGTGCCAGCCGCATGGCTCAGGGTCATGATGCTGTGGCTTATAGTCACACTCCCTGGGGTTTGGATTTGGGCTCTGCCTCTTTCTGCATCTGTAAAATGGCAATAAAAGTCATACTCACCTCTCCCAGGGGTGATGTGTGATACATATAAAAATATACACAGTCACGGGGCTCCTGGCTGGCTCAGTCAGAAGAGCTTGAGACTCTTGATCTCAGGGTTGTGAGTTCGAGCCCCACATTGAGTGGAGAGATTACTAAAAAATAAATAAACTTAAAGTAGGTATACCCATATAGTCATATAGACCAAGCGGGTGTTGGTTAGAATGAAGGTTTGGCTTCTGAAACCGTGGGCCCCACTAGGTGGCCCACCCCGGGGCCTTAGCCCCATGCCCAGCAGGTTCCAACTGTCCTCGGCCAGGAACCTATGGGGTGCCCTCGAGTCTGGTGATAGGGCGACACCTGCTGTTCCAAAGTAGGATGTGCAGCCACAGGCCCACCCTCTTCCTTGAGGGCCTCAAACTCTACCTTTGCAGCCATTTCTTTGGGTTCTTCTAATTCAGTGATTCTTAACCAGGGGAGGAGAGAGGAAGGGTAGATGTCATCCACATTACTCTGTCACCACCTCTCTAGTCTAAGTCGTCACCTCCCTTTGCCTGGATTAGGGCACAGCCTCCAAAGCTTCCCTACCTTCTGGTCCCAGCACAAAAGCTAGAGAAACTTTTTTTTTTTTTTAAGTAAATGCAACACCCAACACCCAACACGGGACTTGAACTCACGACCCTGAGATCAAGAGTTGCATTCCCAGGGCACCTAGGTGGTTCAGTCAGAAGAGTGTGTGACTCTTGATCCCAGGGTCCTGAGTTCAAGCCCCAGGATAGTTGTAGAAATTACTTACATAAATAAACTTAAAAAAAAAAAAAAAAAAGAACAGTCGCATGCTCTACTGGCCCTAGAGGAACCTTTTTTTTAAAGGTGGGTCTGGGCCCGTCACTGCTCACAGTTTCCAGTGGAACCTATCTCAGAATAAAATCTAAAGACCTCATTGTGGCCCATAAGGCATCGCGTGATATGGTCCCTGCCGCTTCTCTGGCAACTGTTTTCTGTACATATGCACACGTTGTCTGTCCCGACTGGAGAATAAGCTCCTTTAGAGGGGGCCCTGTCTGTCCTATCACTGCTCCAGTGCAGGGTCTAGCCCAGAGCCGGGCACACAGCGGGCGCCCAATAAATACTTGGTGACTGAATGAATCAATGCCCTAGCTAGACTGAATGACTCTGGTACCTTTTCCTGGAACACTCCCCATCCTGGCTCCCTTGCCTTTGTGTGGTTCACTCCACTGGTCAAATCTTAGTCTAGATATCACTTCCTGCAGGAAGCCCTCCCTGATCTCCTCTCCCCAGAATGGACTGGTCACCCTCCTCCAGCCCCAGCATTATCCTGTATACCCGTACTGTTGCACTTATCAGAAGCTATCAGTAATAGTAATAGTCACTTCCTTTCCTGGCTTCCCACCAGGCTGTGAGCTTCTGGAGGACTGAGTTATGTCTGTTCTCTCTGGATCGCCTCTGCCTAGGAGGGATTCTGCTGGGACGAGAGGCCATCAGCCCTCTGGTTAGGAGCAACCCGGGCTTGCCTGGGTGCCTATTCCAACTACACCAGTCTGTGGGGCCTGACTACACCCCTCAGCTCTTCGGACCTCACCTCCCTAATCTGTGCTGCCTCACACTGGCTCTACAAGGAGGCCGCTTCCCTGGCCTGGAGCAAATGGCCAACACACGTTTTTGTAGAAAACCGATAAAATAGCCATTGAATAGCTAAATGGACATTCAGCGATCTTAATCAGAAAGCCTTGAGCCACGCTTCCTCGGATGAGTTGATTCAGCATTTCACACATCGCTGTGCCTCTTACACCCTCACACGCGCTCCAGGGACCCCACTTCCTGCGGGGTAACACGACTGCCCTGGGAGGCGGGGACCACCTGGTCCCTTGTATCCCGAGGGGCACGTGAGGCTGGTCGCAGTAGCTGCTGAGGAAGTAACCGCTCCTGTTTGTATCTGTTCAGACATGATACCCCGTCACCTTTCTGAATACCTTCTGCCCCCCCTTGAGAAGCAGTTTCCCTTATTTCCCATTTTGGATTGCCTGGGAATTTCCCCCACCTGGTATCCATGCCTCCTGGTGACCTACAGACTTGCACGAGAGTGACTTGCCTGTAGCACTGGGACATCCTGACCCCGCTCTGGCCGGCCCTGGGATCAGATGCCAGCCAGGTGGTCCTGGGGAGTGTGGATTTTCACAGTGCTGGCTTTCTCGTCTTTTACTTAAATTATTTTTGAGAGGTAGAGACAGATCATGAGTGGAGGAGGGGCATAGAGAGAGGGAGACACAGAATGTGAAGCAGGCTCCAGGCTCTGAGCTGTCAGCTCTGAGCTGTCAGCACAGAGCCCGACGCGGGGCTCGAACTCACAGAGTGCGAGATCCCGACCTGAGCCAAAGCCAAACGCTTAACTGACTGAGCCACCCAGGCGCCCCTCCGTCTCATCTTTTAGATCACACTTTGCCACTCACGGGGTCAGAAAAGCTTTTTGCCCCAACGGCTCCCCATCCCAGCACCCCATTTCCCTTCCTACATAGTCATTAGTTCATCACTATTCAAAATCATCTTTATTTGGTTACATATTTAGCCCTTTCCCTCTCCCCCACCCGGAGGAGGAGCTCCAAGAAAGCTGTGGCATCTTCCCCAGTACTTTGCAGAGCCTGACGTGGAAGCCGCTCCATTAGAATTTGCTGTATGAATGGTCTGGTCTCTTTCCATGTGCAGGTGCCTGATCTTGCTTCTGCTGAAAGGCTCGCAAAGATAGGAAGGAGGAAGGTGGATACCCTCGAGTGTGTACTTGGTGGCTGTTTCAGATGTCCTTTGTCGATCCAATGCCCTTCCTGGGCTCAGGCACAAATGACTTCTGCTTGGCTGGGGAAGGGGGGTTGGGTTCTGGGAATTGCAGTCCCCGAGCTCGAGCCTGGTGTGCCAACCCCCTCCTTGATGGCCAGGCTCTTCCAATTAATCTGCCTGCCCACAGACACAGGAGGAGAGGGCTTTGAGCGAGCCTATGACCGTTCCCCAAGCTGAAGACCTCGAGGGCACAGACTTCAAGGGGTTTCCCTTGGCTTCAGGCGCCTCCTGCGGGACCAGTGGACTGACTGGGGAGGAATCTGGGGCCCCGGTCCCTCTGCAGGGTGGCACGGCCCCCCTGGCCTGGGCAAGGCGTCCCCTACCCAGGGGGGCCTCCTGAGTGAGGTGGGGCTGGTTTTCTCCACAGAACAAGATATAAGTCTTCATTGGCGGGGTGACGGTTCCTAGATTAGGACCAGGGGCTCGGGGCAGCACTGGGGGTGCTATCAGGGAGATCTGTCTGCCACG